AAGGTGAACCTGGAAAAGATAATGCAACACGAAAACGCATACATAAATATTTACCACAACCATTTCAACTTAAAATAGTTATAACAGATAATTTTAATAAACAATCTTCATTAATTGTTGAACAATTAAATAAACTTCTTGAATTTGATACATATGAATCATTTTTGAAATATAATCAATCGTCAATTAATGATTTATTAGTATTTATTTATGCTGATGATTGTGAGTATGATGAACGTATGTTTATGGCTATTTATTTAAATACAGAAAATCAACTTGTTATTAAATCAGGTCATATGTATTCAATAATATTAGAACGAAAAAATATTCGTACAATGGAATTTAATGCAAAACAAGATCAAACAACAGAAGTATCATTTGATTCAATTTATTATCAATCTGGTAAACAAGAAAAAAAAGCAATAGCTTTATTTGATTCACAGACTTATATGTTCTATGCAATTCGATTAGAAATATCAACAAACACTTCAAAAACTGAAGAAACTGTGCTTTTACCATTAGAAAAAATCAAATAATAAAAAACTAAAGGAGGGGTGTGATGGCACTAGCCGTCACCTATGTTCTCTCTCTTTTTCTTCTATAGTCTTTCATTGATAATTCTACGTTTTGTTTTGTCTTCTTTGTCACGCTTTTTTCTCTCTTCTGATTATTATTCTACATTATTCGTCTTCTTAGTTAGTAGTTTCACTACTACTACTTATCTTCTCATCTTTCAACACATGTAGCTTCTTCATTGATCCTCATCTTATTGACTCATTTCTATCATACGCATCTTCTCTTCAACATTCAATTTCGTCTTAACTGCTATCTTTCAGTCAATCGTTTATTGACCTATCTACATTGTTCTTTGTTTTCTGCTTTTCTTCCCTTGTCAATTATCATCTTTCTTCTCGTTCATCATTTCATAAAATATATTTGATAAAACTTCATTCACCTGCAACTCATTTCATTTTTCAACTTCATCAAGTACCAAACCTACTGTGGCACCTGGGATTGCAGCTAGTTGTTGCTTCGGGGGGGGGGGGGGGGGAGCGTAAAATACGAAAAAATCAGGTGTTATAGGCCTAGAACAATTAGTTTTTAGTAAGCATAGAAAGGAAATCGAAAAAAAATTAGACTGTATCAAGTTGTAGAATTCATTTTTGCCTTCATTTTGATACCAAGCTCAACATTCCAACATTTAAAACGGTGGAGAATTCTGGGACGTATGGAAACATCAAAATCAAAAACCTTATTGGGAGAAAAACACAAAATCAGTTTTAACACTAACTGATGATTTTTTCATCTATAAATTGATATTTAAAAAAATCTTCAAGTAATTTATCATGGATCCCCGATTAGAACAAATCAAATGAACGCAACTAAAGGCATCAGTGTGAATCTAAAAATTTACACCAACATCTTCATTCCATTCTATGTTTATCATTTTCGAATATTGTATTCACTTATCATGCTTAGCAATACATGATAGCTATGTTGATCACTGTCAAAAATCAATAGAGAAATTTGAAAGACTTTAAAAATCGAAGTTTTTAGAAAGAAGCTTGTTGTATTGATTTAACTCTCAAATAAGCCTGCTGTGCATATCTATTATATCTATAGTAGGTCTTAATACACTATTATATATCTTGATAAGCTCACAAGCATTAATATTGATTATTTCCTAAAGTTTTAATTTGATCAATTCCCGCTTTTTTATGTTAACTATATGACGACTGTGCCAAATCAATGCATCACTACCAATCATACCAGATATCTTGAATATAAAGTTTTTGTCTGCGCAAAAATCAAAAACTGCATCACTTAGAACATTCACAAACGTATTCTAGCATTTCAAATTTTTATGAAGACTTTGGAATATTTTAGAATCCATTAGAACAGTCTAAGTTTTGTTGTTAACGCCGTTCAACACTCTAATCAAAGAGTCTGACGTCTGTTTTCCTCGGTTATCAAGTTCTGTAATAGGGCAAACCATAAAAGTTCGACCTGAAACTTACACTTACCATATTCTTCTACATGTTATGTCATTAAATCTTATCATAAAATCAATAAACTATAGCGCATTCAAGAGTAGGCACATTGCTCTGTCTAACAAACTCTAAATCATAAAGTCAATAAGTGTCAGTAAAATTGACCTTTTCTGATGGAAGTTCTTAAAGATTTCCACATTGAAAATCTTTGTGAATAATTTATTTCACTTGTCTTTCTTTATCAAAATAAACTATGTCAACAAATAAAAACATTTTATACGAGTGGTCTATCAATAAAAAAAAAAATACATGAGCACGCATTAAATTCATCAGAACGAAGAAGAAAAACATAAAAACAAAAAGCATCTTTGGTAATCATAGACTGTTGACGTTATATAAATGGCAGATAAATATGGTAGTTGTTTGGTTTGTCCAATAACATTTTCTTTATTTTG